TCCCCCCCCCCCCCCCCCCCGGAAGTCTGGAGGCCGCGGCAAACCTCTCGACATTACATTGGAACCAGTCATGGAAATCTTTCAGCAATTGAGAGAAATGTTGTTAGTGAGGCGAGAGACGCTCGCACCTCGAACTTGCACGACGGGAGATCGAGCTTTTAAGAGAATCACGACGTTCAAGAGACGACAGTGTCAATTGAGGAAGAACGCCGAGATCGGTGAACCGTCGGCGTCGGGGCGGCGAATGCAAACCAGAACGAACGTGCAACTAACTATAGATATTGCAACTCGGTTCGACGGAAGCGGCGAGGCATACGAGATTTGGGAAAGACAAGTAAGACTCCTCGTGGAGAGGTATCAGCTAAATGACAACGAGGCGAGACTTCCATCCGAGGTATACTCCACGGCCCTCCGAACGAGATAGTGTCCGACTATTCTCCGGAGGTAGGAGGGTACGCGATGTCGGGCAAGGCCCTCTCGGATCCTCGATCAGGGCAGGGAGTTGAACGCGCTGACGATGTCGATCGACACCGCCAGCGCCACTCCCTGGCTCACCGCTGATCCTGCTTGACCTATGACGCGCTCGATGGCGTCGATGGTCGATCTTCTACTTCGAAAGCTAAATTGGCTGTTATGAAGGTTCGGTCCCGCGCCCGCTAGATGATTCGAGAGGCGGTCCATAATCACCGGCTAACGCCGGCACGCGGCCGGGGATTCCGTCCAATCCTCGGGCGGTGTTCTTAGCTGCCGTCTTCCGTGCCGCTGCTACCATCTTCCCTTCTGTGATGAGTGGTAATGGTGGCATCTGCTGCAGCAATTCTCCGTCTTGAGGTGAGACGCCCCGCGCCTCTTCCAGATCTCTCAGAAAAAGATTGTCGAGGATCTTTTCGAGCGTCGCTCGGTCCAAGGCTTCCATCACTGGGGACTCCCTTGGCCGGAATTTATACCGAGCACCAGTTAATGTTTAGCCAGTCCGGCGAGCCGGCTCAATAGCTTTGCGACTTCGTCCCTGAGGGGCATACGCGACATCACTAGTCTATCCACCCACGAGCTACGCCACTGCATTCAGGAAGGGGCGCGGAAAAATCCAGCAGTGTCACGGAGTGTTTACCGTGAATGAGTCCTTTCGTTACGCCGCCGAGCTGCTCAGCCACGCATCCACGGGGAACAACGGGTAGGCGGACTCACGCGTGCA